TGTCTTCCTCATTTTTGGTTATTTTTAATATTTGTAATCCACAAGGAGAAGAAGGTGTAGCTATCAATTGTAATCCAAAGGTAAGGAAAGGAAAAAACAAAGAAAAGACAAAGAGAAAAAAAAGTAACGAAACTAGCTTCTAATCCAAGAATTTCAGTCTTTTGAAGTCATCTTCCTTGTTGTTTTCTTCAGGTTCTTCAGACCCTAATCCTTTATTATCCAGAAAGGAATGGTATATCAATAAATTGTAATCCACTTAGGCCCACCAAACCCCAGCTGTTTTATATTTGCTAAGAAAGAGTTTACAGAGCCAAGGCAAAAAATAAATAAAGGGGGTGGGAGGAAAAATAAGAAAGTGAAGCCTTTTGCTGTTCATATTTCCCTTTGAGTTTCAAGAGCTAGACTGTTTGGACATAACAAGTCTCAGTTATGTGCTCTCTATCTCAGTTTATTCAGTCTGACCAGCTTGTAGCACCAGAGTTATTTTTCCAACAGTCAATTCTTATCTCTATTTACACCATCATTCAAGGTTATATAGTTTGTAGAATTGCAGCTCCCAGCATCCACTTTCCTCTTAGAGTTAGATAGAATAACAGAGTTGGAAGGGACCTTGTAGGTCTTCTAGTCCAACCCCCTGCCTAGGCAGGAAACCCTACACCATTTCAGACAAATGGCTATCCAACAGCTTACAGACTCCCAGTGTTGGGGCATTCACAACTTCTGGAGGCAAGTTGTTCCACTGATTAATTGTTCTAACTGTCAGGAAATTTGTTCCTCAGTTCTAAGTTGCTTTTCTCCTTGATTAGTTTCCACCCATTGCTTCTTGTTCTACCCTCAGGTGCTTTGGAGAATAGTTTGACTCCCTCTTCTTTGTGGCAGCCCCTGAGATATTGGAAGACTGCTATCATGTCTCCCCTACTTCTTTTCATTAAACTAGACATACCCAGTTCCTGCAACCGTTCTTCATATGTTTTAGCCTCAGTCCCCTAATCATCTTTGTTGCTCTTCTCTGCACTCTTTCTAGAGTCTCCACATCTTTTCTACATCATGGTGACCAAAACTGAATGCAGTATTCCAAGTGTGGCCTTATCAAGGCTTTATAAAGTGGTATTAACATTTCATGTGATGTTGATTCTATCCCTCTGTTTATGCAACCTAGAACTGTGTTGGCTTTTTTGGCAGCTGCTGCACGCTGCTGGCTCATATTTAAATGGTTGTCCACTGGGACTCCAAGATCCCTCTCACAGTTACTACTATTGAGCAAGGTACCATGGACTAAGTGAAGCCAACTCTGACCTCACTTAATTTGCGTCCTGGCTCTGACCCTGTTTCCCCCTCCCCCAAGGTGTGTCATCAGTCACATTCTCCAACAAAGCAATTTCAGGGTTTGTAGAGATCCCTCCCTCCAGCCACTGTGGGTCTGCATGGATATGACCTTGACGTGGCCAGCTGGAAAGTGCATTGTTTTGACTGAAGTGCAAGTTCCTCAATGCAGCTGCGAGGCTCGATTCCCCATCCTCCTGCCTATGGCAAGTCGAGAGCAGGTCAGGTATGCTTCGCAAGTTGACAGATAGAATGTGCCACAGGGTGAGTGTCACAGTGGAAAAGGCTCTTCTCCTTGACCCCACCTACCAGAATTCCTTAGCAGATGTAGTCCTCAGCAGGCCCTTCCACTGGAGCAAGTAGGCTGGGCTAGTCCCATTGGGGTGAGGTGGCTCGTCAGATACCCTGGGCCCAGGCAATAAAAGGCATTAAAGTTAATAAAGGATTTTAAAGGTAAAAACCAACAACTTGAATTGGACCCAGAAGCAAACTGGTAACCAATGGGTAATGGACTGTAGACTATGAAACCTAATTTTAATTAAGGACAGTGTGTTATAAATTTTTGATTTATTCCCTATTTGGTGTTTTCTACCAGCATTTTAAATTACAAATGACTCAGTGAAAACTCTATGTCCTCGAATGTGAGTTTAGTAACTTTCTTATTAAATTTTCTGAACACTTAAAATGTTGGAGTAGATAGAAACATTCTCCCATGTAAAAAACACTGGATATGAGTTGTGTTAAAAATACTTTACTTTTGTGATCAAACCATTGGTGTAAAGGTAGTCCTCAAATTACAAGCATTTGTTTAGTGACTGTTCAAAGTTACAATGGCACTGGAAAAAGTGAATTATGACCATTTTTCACATTTATGACCATTTCAGCATCTCCATGGTCACATGATCAAAATTCAGAAGCTTGGCAACTGGCATGTATTTATGACAGTTGCAGTGTCCTGGGATCATGTATCACCTTTTGTAACCTTCTGACAAGCGAAGTCAATGGGGAAGCCAGATTCACTTAACAACCATGTTACTAACTTAACAACGGCAGTGATTCACTTAACAACTATAACAATAAAGGTTGTAAAATGGGGCAAAACTCACTTAACAACTGTCTTGCTTAACAACATAAATTTTGGGCTCAATTGTTGGCAATTGAGTACTACCTATATTTAGATTTAGACAAGGCAGAATGTTACACTAGTATTTTTTCTACTGTTATTGATGATTGCTATGTTTAGCTGCTACAGGTAATCATTGCTTAATGACCATTTGTTCAGCAACTGTTTGAAATTACAACAGCACTTAACAAAAGGACTTAGGGCTAAGTTGCAGCACCCCTTTGGTCATGTGTTTGTGATCTGGGCACTTGGTAACCTGTAACTGGTCCAAGCACCCCACAATCATGTCATCACCATTTGTAATCTTCCTTGCTAGCTTCTCAAGAAAATCGGAGGGGGAGCCACCAGGGAAGGTTGCAAGGCGCTGCTGACTGCCAAGAATTCTCCCTCTGTTTTCTTTGGGCTGGCTGAAAAAGAACCATACCAAAATCCAAGCAGAATTTTAGCACAGAGTTTTTCCCTGCCTCATCTCTCTAGCCCAGCTCACAAGTTCCCTTCCATACATGTAGGCATCATGTTTAATGACAGCTTCACTCAGTGATTGAGATTCCAGTCCCAATCGTGGTAATAAGTCAACAACTACTCTGTGCCTGTTTACCTGGGCTCTAGAGACAATTATTGGGTTTCTTGCCTATAGTGGATGGAATTCAGAACCTCCCATTATTCTAAGACCACTGAAACTTAGGCCTTACCCTGTTGTGCCTCTTCTCTGACTCAGGTGGAATCTGATTTCCACATTTGAAGTAGCTTATTGAAGGAACAGTACATTCTAAAAGGACAATATGGTTGTATTCTATTGAATAAAATGGTCTATTTGTCATAACTTCAACAAACTAAAAGTATCCTTCCTCTGTAGGAGTATTATACATATATTATTATGTATGTAAAGAAAGCACAGTAGAAAAAAGTTTCCAATTTCCACTCATACACAGGAAATACTATTATGTATTCCAGTTTAATGGAACTGAATGTCAACTTTGTTGTACTTCATTATACAAAATCTGATTGGTTAGAAATAGATTACTCTACATAATTTTAAATGAAAGTGTTTTCCCCCTGACACATTTTATTGCATTAGGGTCATAGTGGGATTGCTTAATGCATTCAATCATTTGAAAGTTACTGTCATAAGATGTGGGGTGTCTAAATTTGATAAATAAAATAAAATAAGTTAATGTGGTTTGCACAGCTTTTCCTTTTCAAAAGTCATTATTCTTTTTGCCAGAGTTCATATTAATATAGCTGAATGTGTTTTACAATGATTGTAATGTTCAAGTAATAGTTCTGCAGTTTCAGCTAGCCCTCAAAACATGGATCACATCTTACTGATCAATTACTAATTTGAAACCTATGTATTGCTTTTCCATAAGAAAATTCTCATTACTTTTGTGGTTGAATTACAAATGTATTCTATGTTGTAGTACAACAGTAAAACAAGTCATGTACCTGTTTATATTATTAAATCCTCTTTAACCTATCAATATAATTTGTCAAAGTAAAATACTCTGTTTTAAACATTGTATTAAATGGTGTATACCAAAAATAATTCCTAGACCCAGGCATTCCCCTTCCAACTTGGTATGAAATGCAAAATATTTAATATCAAACTATGTTTAATTTAAAACATCCCTTTTCAAGTGCAAAACATCTGTTTTGAGCACAAATCTGGCTGCTTTCAGGATTAGGGAATGTTGTGGAATTGACTTCAAATTCTAAAGTTTTTGAACTTCCTAACTTGTGGATTTTTAGCACCATTTGTGGATGTGTTTAGGGAACAAGTTGGAATTCCCAAACAAATGAGATCAAATGTATGGCTTTGATTCTTAGAACATAGCCTAATGAAACCAAAGTTTTCACAAGGGGTAAGTAAACTTAAAGTATGTGCTATTTGAGGCTTCTGTTTCTAGCTTGGGAGCAATACAATGACTTACCTTCACATACAAAAGTGATATCCTAATAGGCATGAATCTTTTGATAATGCATGTAGCTGTGATAAAATCAGGATGTTTCTAACCATAGTTGCTGTTTTATTCCAATACAAAACAAACAAACAAACACACACAATCCAGTCAGTTTGAAAACAATTTGGATAACTTCAAAAGTTTACTTAAATTTTTGATACAGGGAAGTTCAACTCCCAGGGAATTCTGGGGGTCAAAGTTTACACAGCTTAAAGTTGCCAAGGTTGAGAAACACTCTTCTGATATATTTAAAGACTTGTAATCCATGTCTCTTTATACAGATAGGACAGATAACTGTCATCTCCAGAATATCCAGAGCATTTGTCTCTGAGAGTGAAGCATTCCTTAATTAATCTTTTTTAATGTAAAAATCAGTCATAAACTCTATTTTTAGAAGTTAAAAGTTTAAATATTTGAACAAAAGTTGAGTCCCCCTCAAGAAAATCGCATTGAGTTATATGCATATTGTCTTTGATTTTAAACCTGCAAAGTAAAGAATAGTTATGAACAATGCAAAATAACATTTTATATTATTGATCTAGAAAACATATCCAGCTGGTGAGTAGTGTCATGTGATCACTCTAATTGTATTAATGTTTCTTTTTGTTTTGGTAGGTGAATCTGGATTGGGAAAATCAACACTAATCAACTCATTATTCCTGACAGACCTGTATTCTCCAGAATTCCCAGGACCTTCATATAGAATTAAAAAGACTGTACAGGTTTGCACATAAAAAGTATAGCTTCTGCTATGTGCTTTTGTGTGTTAGAATGAAAGAGAAGTACTTTCATTTTATTTATTTGTTTAATTAATTTTTTAAAACTATCCAGCAGCCAAATCTATAAAGCTATACTATAAAACAGACTAAAAAGTACAATCTAAGTAAAAACATATGATAAAACCAAACCAGATACAAAATTAAAATATCATACTGTAAGGCCCTAAAAGATTTTTAAAAGCCCACCAAAATTTTGAAGTGAATTGGACTCCCCAATCAGAAATAATTATTTGAGGAGCACCATGGAGGTGGTAACTGTGTACTAGGAACATCTTTGCTAGTGCCTTGGCTGTTGGGATTTTGGGGCAAGGGACAAAATGAACCTGTTTGGAGAATAAGTCTGTTACCACCCAGATAACAGTATTTCCTGTGCAGTTCTGGCAGTTCAACAATAGAAGTCCATGGAGATCTCTCTCCAGGGTGCTGAAGGTTCAGCTACGATTTGCAAAAGTCCAAGGGATTTCCCTTGCTGTCTCTTTGCAGTAGCACAGACAGGGCAGCTGGCCACATAACTTTCAATTCAATGAATGATGGCCACCAAAATTTTCTTTTGATGAGGTGTAGCGTTTTTACAAATCCAAAGTGTCCTGCCAGTCTGGAATCATGGCATCGTTTTATTAGGCCCAGTCTTTGGCTTGCTGGCACATACAGTTTCCCTCCCACCCAAACCAAATCGTCTTTGAGGTGGCATTGATTTTTATGGGTTTTAATCCATTCGTCATCGATAAGGACTTTTTTAAAATTATTTTTTTATTATTATAAATGTGTTTTTATTTTCCATTTTCATTTTCGTACAGTCACATATATACTGTGCATAACCGGGGCCATATAACATTAAACAATAAACACAGCCATTCCTCTTGTCATCAATACCCCCAAAAATAGAAACCCAATGTACCTCTTCGACCCTCCATACACCCTTTCTTTCGCCCCCCACCAACTTTCCATCTTCCCTCCATCATTCGATAAGGACTTTTTTAAACGCTTGGGTAGTAACGCTTGCGCTATTATATTGGGGCTTTTGTGATAGTGCATCTGCCAACAGGTTTTTCCCCCCGGGAGGTACTTAAGCGTGAAGTCAAACCACTTAAAGTATTGTGCCCAGCGTACTTGTTTGAAGGAAAGTTTTTTGGGGGTTTTGAGGGCTTCCAGGTTTTTGTAATCAGTCCAGATTTCGAAGGGGATTTTATTTCCCTCCAGGAAGTCCCTCCAATTAAGGAAAGCCCAACGTACCGCATAAGCTTCTTTCTCCCAGATAGCCCATCTCTGTTCTGTTTCAGTGAGTTTTTTGGAAGTGTAAGCGCATGGCTGTAATTTGCCTTGAGTAAAACAGCCCCCACTGCTACATTACTGGCATCCGCTTGTATAATAAACAGTGCTTCAGGGTCTGGGTCTTTTAACATCGGCTCAGCTGAAAAAAGTTGCCTGAGTTTCTCGAACGCTGCTTGGCATTCCATTGTCCAGTTAAGCGGTTGCGTTGGTCTGGGCTTGTTCTCCCCTTTGGTTTTTAGTAGGTTAGTAATAGATTTTTGCAAACGCCGGGATGAATTTGCGGTAAAAGTTCGCAAAACCCAGAAAGCTTTGCAGTTGTTTGTGTGTGCGTGTTGGTTCACAGTCGATTACTGCTTTCACTTTTTGTGGGTCCATATCTTTCCCTTCATGGGAAATTCGGTACCCCAAATAGTCTATTTTTCCCTGGTGAAATTCACATTTTGAGAGTTGTGTGTAGAGCTTTGCGGAACATAGCTTGTTTAGGACTGCTCGGACTAGTTTTATGTGTTCCGCTTTTGTTTCTGTGTATATCAAAATATCACAAGATAAACCAAAATCCTTTTGTATAAATGTTCATGAAGAACTTTGTTTATTAGCTGCATAAAGACGGCTGGGGTGCCTTGTAATCCAAATGGGAGAACTTTAAATTGGTAACAGCCTAATGGGGTATTGAAGGCGGTTTTCCATTCGTCCCCCTCCTGTCAAACGGTTCAGGCCCGGACCAGGGAGAAGTCAAACAAACGCACAGGAGATACAGTAGTTCAGGAATCCAGGCTTTACTTTTCCTTCATAGGCTGGAGCCCAGGTACACGTTGATCACAATATACAGGTCCATGGAAAGTCAGCGCTGGGAGCTCTCGCCTCCCAGTGCGTTTTATGGCCTGGGTCTCCGCCCACTAACTGGCCTACCATGCCTGCTGGCCAGCAAGCATCCTGCCACCGGCAGCCAACATCTGGCCGTGTGGGCCCCAGGCCATCGGCAAAGTCCAGGATGTAAAGTCCTGGACTGCAGGGCATCCACAAAGGTGAACAGCTGATGGGCAGCTGCAGCACATAGTTCCTAGAAGTCCTGATGCCACCGAAGCCACCTTGACCCATGTTGCCAGCGTCCCCACGACTCCCACTGCCCGTTGGCACAATTCTCCCTTTAGAGAAGTGTGCTAGCATGTCCTTCATTGGGGGTGGGGGGGTAGACGTTTTCTATGCTCACAGTGTTCAGGTTCCTATAGTCCACGCAGAGATGCAAAGAGCCATCTTTTTTTCATGGAATAGAACTGGGGCCACGATTTTTGGTTGGGTGGGTTCGATTAATCCCCTCGCTAAATTTTTGTCAATGAATGTTCTCTGTTCCTCGAGTTGACGAGGGAACATACAATACATTTTTGGCTTTGGGAGTTTTGCTTCTGGCAGAATTTCAATGGCACAGTCTGTGGCACAGTGGGGGGAGTTTGTTGGAGCGTTCTTCACTGAAGACCTCAGCCAAGTCCCTGTACTCCTTTGGGATGCCCTGAGTGAGCATGGCCCAGCCAGATATTGCCGTTTCTTTGCTTCCTCCCCCCCCCCCCCTTTCAGCTTCCTTTTCACATTCGTCTATGAACGATGTGTGCTTTTGGAATTTTAAGGTCTCTTGCTTCCAATTTACTTTAGGGTTCGATTTCCTCAGACACGTGAGCCCTAGAACTAGCAGCCATTCCATTCCAGGGGCTACTATAAATGTCAGAGTCTCATTATGGTCCCTTGTCTTTATTTGCAATGGTTCCGTGGCAAAAATGGCGGGTTCTCCCCCCCCCCGGCTAATGTCCCATCAAGCTGGCAGAAAGTGATGGGTTTTTTAAATATTCTCAGATGGATCCCCAGTTTCCCCACTAGGGTTGCACTAATTAGGCATCGGGGGCACCGCAGTGTGACAGTAAGAAGGAAGAAGTGATTCACCCCATCATTCCCCACCACCAAAAGGCGGCTCAAGTCACCACCAGAAGCCAGACCAAACGGCGGCCTACCCTCAGCCAGGACAAGCTGACCGCAGCAATAAAATTGGCGCTGCCAACCGATCCCTGGCTCAACGACAACAAAGACATCCTGACAATGGGAGATGGCTTAGCCTGGAAAGGATCCAAACTGTACATTCCTGCGAACTTGAGGCTGGAAGTACTACAGCAAAGCCATGATGTGAAATTGGGAGGTCACTTTGGATTCCTAAAAACACTTCACCTTGCCAGACATCAATTTTGGTGGCCAGAAATGAAAGCAGAAGTGGAAGACAACGTGAAAAGCTGTGCAACTTGTGCAACCATGAAAATACGGCCAGGCAAGCCCCCTGGATTACTGCAACAGGTGGCCAGCCCTAGCCAACCATGGGAAGAGATCGCAATGGATCTAATCATAGTGTGAAGTTCCCAAAAGATGCCCTAATTAATTTACGAGCCTCAAGACAAAGTTCAAAAGAAATCCAGTCATTTATTAGGAACAACATTTTAGCATGTTCTTCTGCGGAGCCAAATCTGATTGCTGGTTAATGGTGTCTGAACTTTACCACTGTGACTCTCCTCCCTTCAGTCTGTGTCATAAATCATATCCACCAACTAGGTGCTGCAGCAAGCTGTGAACTTTCACACCTCACACACCTGCTGTAGAAATCTGATATCCGACCTTGGTTTCAGGCCTGGGGTTGAGCACACAGATGGCATGTGGCCCATCCCCCCCGCATCTGTAGCATTTCAGTGGACTTCGAGGGAGGGCTAGTCTCAGGACCCACAATGGTGCTGTGGTTCCCCGTTGGCTAGGCGTTTTCAGGTCAGGTTGACCTCTCTTTCGTTTGCTTTCTCATGTCATTGGCGCACAGTCCACTGTTGGCTTTTGTTGCTACTCGGAACCACTCAGAGAGTTGATTCGGGATGTCGCAGTATGCGGTTACCTGGGCAATTTGCTTGTCCAGGCTTGTTCTGAAAAAATGTACCAGCAGCTGCTCTGGTAAAGGGGGTAGCCTTCCAATGACCCTCTTAAATTCACGGATGTCCTCTTAATGGGGTGGCCCCTCTGCTTTAGGTTGCTGAGTTCCTCTTCCGCATATGGGTCCTCCTTCGCCTCCTCAAATCTGGCCTCTAGCAGTTGCAGGAAGTCATCTATGTCTTGCTCTCCTCTTGTGGAGGGCTGCTAACCATTCCCTTGCTTCTCCCTCTAGCCCCTCTGCGATGGTATTCACCATGGCTCTGGGGGATGGGTAGAGGTGCCCATAGCGTTC